TTAAGTCTCATATGTTTTCTTGTTTTGATAACATTATGGATTTACATTTGTAAGTTCAAACTGCTAATTTTGTGTATTTGCGTTTAATATATTGAATCCGCTTTTAATTCTTATTTATACATTATAACTTTTTCAATCTTTTAATTAGCGGAGAGATGGTTTCTAGAGCCTCACGACAACGTCGTACCATAGCAATCAATGCGTCAGAAAATGCAGAAGGATATCACCTAGATTGGCTTTTTACTGTATGTATATGTATAATGCATGAAAAATTTTGTGCCAGGTTTGTGGCGCAAACAAATTTTTAAATCACATTAATATCAGGGTTAGCATTTAGAATAAGGTTAAAGATTAGACAATTATATAGTAAAATCGCTTAAGAAAAACTTTGATAAGACGAATATTTGTTTTGAAATTTCCTGGTCTGATTTGTAGTTTAGGGATCTGCGCCAAAAGGATCGACAAAACCTGGCACAGAATTTTTTCATGCATTTATAATCAATGATCATGAATAAATTTTAATTATACTAACTATTCTTGCTTAAGAAACATGATCTTGCAAAAGATCTTACCTGGGGACAAGAATTTTCATTATGTGAAAGAGCCGGGTCTAAAATCGAAAATGGCAAAAAAAAACTCAATAATACACTCAAGGTACAAAAGACACTACGGGATATGCATCAAACCCTTTTAGAAACATTATCTCATGCAGGTGGTGGTGCCGTTCCTGCCAGAGTTTCAAAAGCTTTTAGACAATTGGTTTTGCCCGGATTTATTACTTCACGGTTTTTTATTCGGATTTTACTAATTGTATACATCGGAGGTAAATATTATGGATCTAAAGTATTAGCAGAATTTGATATACCCACACAATTTGATGAATTGGGAAAAATTGCAAAAATTGCACGGGTAATGCTGAATGTCAAGGTAAGCTAACGAATTCATCTTAATACTATTATTTATTTTGCTATTTATTTATTATTTATTCATTTATACAGAAGATTTTTAAGCATACTATAAGAACCTTTACTTTTATGAAAGAGGCTTCTGAAAAAAATAAACATTCTGCAGAAAACGTGATGATATCACAACGAATCGAAGAGCATGCGACCCCTAAGGTTAAAAAAACAAAAAGAGCACTGGAAATTAGTAATATTCACAATATTCAAACATCAAAAAGAATCAAAAAGCATGCAACTCCTAAGGTTAAAAA